ACCCTGTTGGGGCCGTCTTGGGCGGTTTGGTAGTCTCTCAGGGCCACCTTGGATGCCATCCATCAAGGGAGTAGGGGTCGTGACGCCCCCCTCCCCTCCCCCTTTCAATCGCCTCTTGGGTCGCTCTTGTGGCGATCTTTGGACCTTTTTTGGGGGTCCGTCCAGGGGCCCCTCGGGCACTCGGAGCTTTCTTGGGCAATGCATTTTGGCCATCTTGAGGCCTCAATAATGTACTGGAAGCCAATCGGCGAGATGGCGAAAACCATTGATTTTCCTTGGCTTGTCGGGGAGGTCCTGAGGAGGCTCCGAGAGCACTTGGGGCCGTCTTGAAACCGTCTTTGCGGCTTCTTGGAGCGTGGTGAAAGCCATCTTGAGCCATCTTCGGCTATCTTAAAGGCCATCTTGGAGTATTGGAGGCCCTCTTGGAACCATGCTTGGCGACAGCGGATCACCTCGCACCTCGCGGATCCCGCTGAGACAGACCTCAGGGAGACGGGGGGCGGCAATGCGGGCTCCCCTCCCCGACGGTACGGGGGGGGTGCTTGGAAGAGGACAGAGGACCATGGGGTAGGCCACTTATGTACGCCCAGAGAGCTGGTGGGATGTTCTGCCTCTCGGGGCCCTCGCCGGGCCCGGGCCTCCAGGACGCGCAGCTGGCTTCCAGAGCGCGAGGAGGAGAAACCGAGAAGGGCACAGACCTCCCGAGCTCCGCACGGGTATCCCGGCTCGGCGCTTTGTGGCCCTTGGCTCGAGGCGACCCCAGCTGCCCCAGGGGGGCGCAGAGGGCCTCCAGGAGCTCGGGGGGAACAGCGGCGTGAAGGTAACCGTTTGGAGCTGGGGCCCCCTCTGGCAGCGCTGGGGCTCCCTGGCGGCGCCTCCGACGCCGCCCCCTTGCGCGCCAGGGAGGGGGCTTCAGCGCAGGTCCGAGACATCCGCGCTGGCCTCCCAACCTCCCTTCCGACGCATCGTGTGCTCTTCCTCTCGAGAGGTGGCCCCAGTTTTCTCGAGGAGGAGGAGGAGCCGCAGGCTTCCAGAGCACCCCCGTCACGAGGCCCACAGGGGCCCGGTGGGGCCCCAGGATGGCGCAGCAAGCGGAGGGAGAGATTCTCGGGCCAGGACGAGACGCGCACCCACACCCCAGACGTGGCGGCGGCAGTGGCGGCGGCGGCGGCGGCGACCACGGCAGGCTCTCAGCGCCTGGCCGCCGCCTCGGGATGGGGGGCTCGTGGCCCTCGATGCCAGGCTTCGCGCGTGCTTGCGTGCTTGCCCGATTGCTGCTGCCTTCCCCCAGCTTGCGCTTTGTGCAGCTCAGTGCTGCTCAGTGCTGGCGCTGGTTCCCCCCCCTCGGCGCTGCCCTGCCACAGTCGGCGGCTCTGAGTGGTCCTGGCGTTCTCTCTTTCTGTCCCGCCGGGGGATCCTCCTCTTCTTCCGCGCACGGCGGCTTCAATTTGCATGCAGCGTGTCCCCCTGTTGCCAATCCGCCGTTGCAGTCTTCGTCTGCCCAGCCGCCGGCGCAAAAGTCTGCTGTTGCCCGCTGTGCCACGCCGCTGCACACGTGGCCGCCGCGGGGCTGATCAGAGTTTGGCCACGCGGCGTTTGGCCGATCCATCGATATGACATGTTTCACCGCCCCGCCCCCCGTGGGCCTTCCGAGCGGGGACTTCACGCTTCACCCGTTTGGCCTTTGGCGGGCATCCGGGAATCGAGCTCCGGCAGGACAACATCAACAGCAATCCTTGCGAGCCGATGTCCCGGTTCCGTTGCGTTTTTTTCATCGGCTCTGGCTCTGGTTCCAGCCTGGAGTTGGTTCTGTTGCCGTTTCTGGTCGCCGTTTTGATTGCCTGCTCCATTTTCGAGACACTTTCGGGAACGGTGAAAACACGGCCCGGCCGCTTCGGGGCCCACTAAACTCTGGCATGGCAACATTAACAGTAATCCTTGCGAGCCCATGCTGCATCCGTTTCACGAGAATAGCCTGACACGGGCAAGAGGGCGGTTTATCGCGCGGATGCGGCAATCGATGGGGCCACGGTTGGACGCGGCTCGAACAAGTTGTCCAGCGGGAGGGGCCCAGGGATCAGCGGCCCGTGCGGGAGTTGCCAAAGGTGCCCCTGGTCCAAGGTGCCCCAAGTTCTTTGTTCCATTTGGGAGCCCGATGGGGCCCTCTGGGCCTCGCGAGGGGTGCTCTGGAGGCCCTGGTGTCCTTGGAAAAATCCCAGGGGCGCCCTGGGCCAGGGGGGCACTTCTGGCAGCAGCCGGCCGGCGAGGGCGGTCGGGTCGGCTCGTGGCGTGCCGGCGCGGCGGCGACCTCAGGTCGAGCCTTCCGGGTGGAACGCGGCCAGAGGCCCATGCTCGACCAATAGGGGACGATCTGGTGATCGAGAGTTCGCGCATCGTTCAATCGGGGGCGGCAAAGAGGGGGGTGATGACCAGGGGGGGGTGGATATCATGGCGGGGGCCATGATATTTCCCCTGATGTCATGGCGCCTCTTCTTGTTTCATTACGTCCCTGGCCCCTCCCTTGTGCCGCGCACATGCCGCCGGCCATGATTTGCACCCCCCCCTCTTGGACGCCCCCCTCTTGGCCGCTCCCGGTTCAAGGTTGAACCATCCATCCATTCGGCAGCACATGATGGGAGCCTTGTCATACCTTTGTGATTCCGTCGTTAGAGTACGTTGGCGTCGATGAGCGTCTGGTAAGCCACGTGACCGCGCCGGTTGAGCCTCGATTTGGCGTCGATCAGCGTGCAGTAGCGTCGATCAACGTCGATTCAGCGCCGACTAGCGTCGAGCAGCGTCGATTCGCGAGAGCCACCAGGATGGCATGGGATGCTCCCTTGAGTTGCCACCGGAACGGGACACCAAGCGTCGTGGACGGACAGCATATGTATCCAAGGGCTCGCGGACCCTGGCCCGCCCCTGAGATCCTGGCGTGGATCTCATTCACAGAGAGCGATCTTGCCCTGCTTCGGGCCTGGGGTCATCACAGATCGATCTGGCTTGAGCATGCCGCAGGCAGATGGATCTCCATGGCGACCCCGCGGACACGGGGCACTTTTGGCGCGGATGTCCCGCGCGGAATCGCAAAATCCACGGGATCGCGTCCTGGGATCCAGGCCGCGATGGCTTGGATGTGGAGCACTCCAGATTTCGTAATAAAGGGAGGGGGGTCTCATTTCGGGGGGGGTCTCGTCCAGGCCATCTTGGAGGGCCTGTGGGGGGTCTGGGGACGATGTTTTGGAGGGTTCTCCCACGGGGGGGGGGTCTGAAGTGGCTTGTCTTGGAGGGTCCAGACCCCCTCCCTTGAATTACGAGCTCTGGAGCACCCGAGTCGAAGGAGAAGAAGTGGCGTGCACATAAAATTCGGTCGGAGCTCCGCGCGGATGACTCGGATCTCATCCCCCCGGGCGGCGCCTACCGCGCTGCCCTTGGCGCGCGCTCGGCGAGCCCGGGACGGGGTCCAGCGCCGGCCCACGCACTCCTCGCGGGCCTGCGAACGTGTACGTTTTTGCCGTTTTTCTTCCTCGTCTAGACAGTTGCCCAGACCCCAGACGTCATGATTCCCAAGCCTCCCTCCCGTGATGGGTTCTCGTTTCGAATAGAGCACTGTGGTCTCCGTCCTCTTTCCTCCTCCTCCTCCTCCTCCTCCTCCTCCTCCTCCTCCTCCTTGCAGGGTTCCCTGGGGGGGGGGGCAGCGCACTGCGAAACTGTCGCCACCTTCGTTGGCTCCTGGGAGGCCCAGCGGATTGGGGGAGTACGCACATTTAGTCAAGACCTCGCGGCTCCAGAGGGCAGCGCACTCCTCAATTGTCGCGACTTTCGTTGGCTTTCGGGAGGCCCATCGGAGTGGGGGAGGACGCACATCCAGCCGAGACCTCGCGGCTCCCTGGGGTGTTGCTACCCGCACATTTGTCTGCGGGCTCCTGGGAGGCACGGCGGAGTGTGGTGGTACGCAGACCCAGCCGAGACCTCGCGGCCCCCTGGGGGGCTGCGAAGTGCGCAGTGGCCTCCTGGCAGACCTAGCGGAGAAGGGTGGTACGCAGACCCAGCCTAGACCTCGCGGCTCCTTGGGGGGCTGCGTTTGTATTGAACGGTCCCTCGTGTAGCCGCCCAATGCTTGGAAAGGGTTGGGTACGTCGCAGGATTTTCTCGTTACCTCGATGCCAGGGGTCTCGACGGCCCTGGGGCCCTGCGAGGGCCCCCAGAGTCCGAAAAGAGCAAAAGCAATTCCCGTCGTGAGTTTGTTCGTGACCCGAGGCGGTCTGGGTATGTTCGCAGCTCGTGAAGCCATGCCCAGGCAGGGCACAGCAGGTCTCAAATCATGCAGTGGAGCCCCTATGCCAAGAGACACCCTGCTCGCCTCCAGGGTGCCCTGGGTTTCTGAGGTTTCGACTGTTTTGCGATGGAAACGCGTGACGTTCCCACATCAAAAACCGATGGGCGTTCTGGGGTCTCAGGTTTGGGTTTCTTGTGAAAGGGTTCTTGTAGACTGGCCTCCACTATACCCCCGGGCCACTGGCCCACATGGTTCCAGGCACAGAGCCCCCGCGGCGCGCGAGTTGCCCGCTGCGCTGCAGAGTACCAGGCACATCGGGCACCGGCGCACAGGACGCGAGTCACGCGGCGCCAGCGCCCAGATGGTCGATCATCTTGGACAGGGCCAATCCTCTCAGAGCCTGACAAATGTTGCGAAGCATGGACGGCGAGAGAGAGAGAGAGAGAGAGTGAGAGAGAGAGAGAGGAAGAGAGAGAGCAAGAGATAGAGAGTGTGCACGCGCGTGCTTTCGCCCGCGCCTACGAAGTTTCCGAGAGAGCAGGCAAGGGGGCACGAGGGAGAGAGTGAGCGAGACAGAGTGAGAGAGCAAGAGGGTGTGAGCAAACGTGCGCGCACGCACGTGTGGCCGCGCGTCTGCGCTCTTGTATGCGCCCGGTCGCGCGCGTTGTGCAACAAGTAACACAGGCGGGTTTGCGCAAGGGCTGGTCTCGATGGCCTGGGCCAGGATGACCGCAAGGAAAAGGAGGACCGCAGGGACGACCGCAAGGACGGCTCCATCCTTCTCTTGTGCATGAGCTCCTTGTTGCCGTGCGAAAGTACGCCGGCTCCCAATGGAGCAAATGAGAGAGTGAGAAGGTGTAAGTGGAGATGGAGGAGGAGAAGGATGATGAGGAGGAGGAGGAGTTGGAGGTGGAGGATGAGA